CGATGGAATACTACGCAGCACGCAGAAGCAATGATTTTGTAAATTATTACCTAACTTGGGAGGGACTGGAGAGCATTGTGTTGAATGAACTAACTCAGTTCCACAAGGACAAATATTTCATAAAACCATTATTGTCGAAAAAGTATGAGGATCCAAGATGGGGAGAAGGGGGGTAGAAGCAGAGGGATGAGGATGTGAAGAGGGAGGGGGGATTAATCATGGGGTTGTACACTTTGATGGATGGTGGATGAGGGAAATTCAAAGAATATGGTCTGAAAAACAATGAATTTGAATTTTGTGAATAAACTAGTATAAACAAAGAATTATTTAAAAAAAAAAAACCAAGCAAAAAACCATGATGTAAGCATTCATCCATCTAGTGTCTGAAATCGGCATACCCTCCTAGATGGTTTCATCCAATGAAACTAGGGCTCCTGAGAATTTTCTGTTGTTCCTAAGCAGAAAATCAATTCTTGAACCTCAGAACGTTTGTGAAAGGGTCTGAGAAGCATTATCGGATATTCTGGTGAACCTTAGAAGGCAAGAGATTCAAAATGTGGGTACAATGTGCTATAAACGTGCCAGCTGCAAGTCAGAGACAAGGGCAGTATCTTGTATTTGAATATGCTCCCTTGGGGCACTTAGACGTGCAGAGATTGGCTTTGGGGACTCATAAACAAAGAGCACAGAAGTTGATCATCAACTGACTAATGGAATCTCTAAGCAAAATCAGTGGCCCTCTGGTGACTCAGTTGGTGACCCCTGGGAGTGGCCTCAGCCAGTTCTGCTCACATCTGAGCGGGAAGAGTCAGCACCTCTTGCTTTAGGCTCACCCCACCCCAGCATTCTTCCCACATCGGCACTTTCTGGGTCCTTTAAGGGGCTCTTCATCTTCCCATGCTCCCTGAGAGGAGGTGCCCGTGCATGTCTCTGTCGGTGAAAGAAAGGAGAGACACGTGGTGTTGGGATGGTGGGGGGGAGGATTCAGATAACGGGTTCCCAGTTCTGCTCCACCACTTATAAGCTAGTGAGTGACCTTGGCTAAATCACCTAATTGTCTCCAAACCAATTCCTCCTGAACAAATGGGAGGTGAGAATTACATGAGAAAGTAGACCTCGCGTGTATTATAAAACACGTATGACTTTTCAAATGTGCGGGAGTTTTGATGGCTTAGTGGTAAGAAGCTGTGCTGCGGAGGATGGGTGCTGAGAACTGCATGAGGTTCGAATCCACCAGATGCCCTACGGAAGAAAGATCGTCAGCCTCCTCCCGGGCAGTTTACTACCTCTGAAAACCTGCTGCAGAGTCAGCCGTGGCTTGGTTCCAACTTGATGGTAAACAGCAACATTTGAAAATGTGGGGTATTCTGGATGGAGCAAACCGTTAGCTGCTTGATTCCTGTCAGAAAAGTTAATGGTTCAAATCTACCAAGAGTTATCTTGGAAGAAAAGCCTAGTTATCTGCTTCAAAAAGGTTAAAGCTCCCAAAAGGTAAAATGAAGCCGTTCTATTTTAAACACATTGGAGTCACCATGAATTGTAGCCCACTTGACAGCAGCTAACAACAACAGCAACAGCCAAATATGAATTATTATTCCATATGCACTTTTATTATTATTTACTGTGTCAAATATAATTACAGAAAAGCCAAGTGACCACTCCAGGCAATGGACCTCCTCCATGAACAGATGAAATGAATTGTGCACTAATCTGAGGGACACAGTCCCTTTGACGACGCCCTCTACTGGCTGTTTATCATAATCTCCTGGCTGCTGCTGGAAACTTTCAGTAGACCTTGACCTTGGCTGAGTTCATTTGGCATCATCTCCAGGAAGACAGATTCTCCCTGAGTTCTGGGTTACTCAGCTGCTTTTTTGGGGTGACCACAGCCACAATGTGCCTGATCCTGATCCTGTGCTCCCTTGTCCCCGTGCTGTCTATGGTATGACTAGTCGACTAGTCGGTAGGGAATGAGAATAAGCCTCCTTGGCTGGCTCACCATGGGAGTCTACCCCTCTGTCTGGGACCCAGAAGGATCTTCTTTAAAGCTTCTCTTCCCACTTGGTTAAGATATTAGAGTCACTTCTCAACTGATTTCCCATGATTGGTTCTCTTCCCTCTACCCATCCTATGTGTTGTGGCCAACGACCTTTCCTCCACTTCCTGCCTCACAGTGACCCAGCTTCTTTCCAGAGTAGCCTGTCATTGATGTCCCCCTTGCAATCCACAGTCCACATTTCTGCTCTGGACATTCATTCTTCTCTTCCCAGCCTTCCTCTTCTCTGGATTTTCACCCTGCACACATTTCTTTTTCTCACTTCTCCTTAAACAAAGTAAAAACCCTATTCATCTCATGATCTAACACATTTCACACCTCTTCCAGAAGTTTCCTCTCATTTCCTCACCTTTGGATGCTGTCAAAGTGTTCTTACCGAACTCATTCAGGGAGCATTCATTGCAATTCAGCACATTACATTCTAGGTGCCCTCATATTTACCTCTGCACACAGTAAATGTCTCGAACACAGGAACTTTCTACTTAGGAGTCTCCCAGATCATAGCCAAGGACACTGTAGGTGCTTACAACAGAGTTCTAGAGTTGCAGAGAGTTAAATAGAAAATGAGCTAGTCAACAACCGTACGGGACCCTATTGCCCTTTTTATGAGAGAATGGGATGTCAAGGTCACCCTGGGGTGGAATTCTAAGCAGAGTGACAGTTGTCAGGCTGTGACACTGTGTTGCCTCAATTGAAAGTTTCCTGTCCTTTTGCTGCTCAGCCCCCACCCCCACCCCCCAGATTTCCCCTAGCATATTCTTATAGCAGCAGTATCACAGGGCACTAATAAAATTAATTATTGGATAAAAATCACTCATTTCCAAAGCTTCATTTTGTGCTATTAGCTAGAGAGTGCTATTTCAAAGGAGATAGCAGAGAGAGAGGGAGATTGATTACAGGATAAGGTCGTGTAGTGCTCAGATAAATGAGTGTGTGGTCGGTGAGAGGACCCTCTCAGCTGCCCTCCTTGGTTTGGGGCTGCACTGCTGTCTGCTGAGTCTGTCCTGGGCCTGTCTGGCTTCACAGAGGAGGTGCATTCTGGTCACTGATGGCAGGGTTCAGTTCTCATTTCTCTAGGGTTCATGGGAAATTTTAACAGCTTGTGGGAAAATTTAGGAACTTATAGAGCAACATGGGTACGACACAGGACTGTCTTATCTTTGATGGCACCAGCCCTAATCTTCCAGATCAGATCTTCCCAAAGATGCAACTTTCATGGGGTTTGGGTGAGCCTGAAAGCTCTGAGCTTTGTTAGCTATAGAGGTAAGCATTCATCTTGCTGAGGCCTCTAAGCTCAGATCTCTTGCTGGCCTTGCAAAGAGTCTCTGGTGACTGGTGAGCTATGTGGGCAGCAACTAGGCATCCACTCCTACTACTGAGAGCCATAGAGGGGCCAGGACACAGATTTGGTGAGAGCCCTGCCACTTTCTACCCACAGGATCTCAGACCAGTCTTGGTTCATACTGAAATCCTAACTCATCTCACAGAGTTTGGTGAAGATGAAACAAATACAGAAACTACCATATTATTATTCTAAAATCTTGTATCCATGTGTAGTGAGGGTTACTATTCACTTCTCCACCAATGGCACTCTGATGGCCTAGTGGGTAAGGAGTTGTACTGCCAACCCAAAGGCAGGTGGTTCAAATCCACCAGCTTCTCTGAAGGAAAAAGATGAGCAATTTCCTCCCCTGTGATTTACTACCTCTGAAAATGCACTAGAGGGTCAGCTGTGAGCTGATTCTGACTCACTGGCACGTAACAACACCCTCCGTTGATGAGTCTTGAAAATAGTTACAGATTCATGGGTTGCAGAATGAAAGAGCAGGGCATCAGATGAATTTTTAAGAAAATGTTTTATTGTCAATTCCAACTCATAGTGGCCCCTCTGTGTCAGAGTAGAACTGCTTTGTAGGGTCTTCAATGCTTGTAACAGGTCTTTGGGAAATAGATTGTCAGGCCGGTGAGCAGACCTGCATTCTTTGAGTTAGTGGCCAAGGGCATTAACCACTGCACCAGCCACAGACTCTATCGGTGGTCCACTGCTGTTAAGGTGGTTCTGACTCATACATAGCACCCCATTATAGAATTTATAGGCCATACATCTTAAAGGAAGGGGCTGATGATTTTAGGGGGTGGGAAGGGATTAGCAGTGATTGTAGATTTGAACTGCCAACCTTTCAATTAGCAGAGCCACATGTAATGCACCACACAACCAGGACTTCTTATGTTATATTGCTGTTGTTATATGCTGTTAAGTTGGAACCGACTCATAGCTTAACCGACTTTCCAGCAGATTTTCATCTTTCTCCCTTGATGTGGCTGGTGGATTCAAACGGCTGACCTTTCAGTTAGCAACCTAAAGTCTTCTTCTCTGGGCCATCATTAAAGATAGGCGGTCTACTTTCTGTTGCTGTCTTCCCTGAGGTAAAGGAATGAATCACAATCATTGAGCACTTACTGCACGCCTGCTGCTTTCCCAGTCCTTTAAGCCAGTGAATTCCAGACAGACAGGGGTTCTCAAATTGCCCTGGAGAACATGGCCTCTGGGAGCAGCATGCCAGGCTCAGCCACACCATTCTCCAATTGTGTGGCCAGGGCAAGATCCGTACCCCACTGGGGCTGTGTCCTCATTGGTCTATCAGGAACACAAGCATTCTCCATCTGTAGAGCCGTTATGAGAATGGCACGTGATAACGTAAATAATACCAGAACAGCCCCTGGCATATGACACTCAGTAAACGTGGTGATTATTCTGTTTGTTATTATTGTCTCTGATTGATGGTGTTACTAATGTCCTCACTGCCCTGTTTTTGAGCCTAACCATGCTGGCATAAACTAAACTCTGGGAACCTGCCCTGGATCGGGTCCTGATGGATAGATAGATCAAGGGGAATAAGGAGGTTAAGGAACCATTCTCATAGACTTCCATTCTGTCACACAGCCTTCGGAAGCTGACTGGGACGACCTGTGGGACCAATTTGATGAGCGGAGGTATCTGAATGCCAAAAAGTGGCGTTTTGGTGATGATCCCTACAAGCTGTATGCTTTCAACCAGCGGGAGAGCGAGAGGATCGCCAGCAATCGGGCTGTCCCGGACACTCGCCACATGAGGTATTTCCTCTTCGTTCGTTTCCTCTTCCTGTCTTTAGGGTTAATGTACCCAGTACCCAGGACTGGGGCAGGGAAGCAGCTTGTTACTTGTTGGACTCCCATTGCATTTAATCTATATGCAGATTGTGTTGTTCATTGATGTGAACCACACCTGTGCGTGGTCCACCAGGTGGTTGGAGAGGGAGGGAGACCTTCTTCATCCCTACCTCCATCCTCCTCCAGTGATCATCGTGCTTACCATGAAGTCATGGAGCAGTAAAGATGCCATGGAAAGGATCTATTTTTCCCTTGCAGAGTCCCACAGCCCAGACTGGCTTGCACACTGGGGAGGCTGGGCAGACTGCTGGCAAGTGAGCCTGGTAGCTAAAGTGTTGCTTGGAGAGATGAACTTCTGTGACGGCCATGAGCACATTGCCCTGTGAGGGGACGGATGAGGGGCCTTTGCACTTGCCTCAGGTCCACTCTCCGCTCCTTGAGTCTCCTGTGTAGGAGCCAGACCCACTCTCCTCTGGCTCAGGTTATACCTGCAGTAGTCATGCTCAGGCTTATGCTCTGTGGAAGACTTCGTCTCCCAGCTCAATGAGGCTCAGTGCCAACCCTTCCCAAAGTCATATCCACCCATATGTTTTTTATAAAAAACATCGTTTTATTTTAAAGAAACTAATATAATACTAATTTATTTCATGGAATTCGTTGAAAGGGAATTTGAGACACATTTTAGCTCACTATCCATCCTTTTTTTTTTTAAAAAAAAAAAAGTATACTGGTTTATTAAGGCTTGCATACACTGTTTTTCACACCAGATCTTTTATAAATAAGTGGAAATGATTTCTAGAATTGCACTTGCAAATCTAGTGGAAGGGGGAGCTCGGGCAGCCTAATGGTAAAGTGCTGTACTGTCAACCCAACGTCATGTGGTTCAAATCTACCATCCCCTTCCTGGGAGAAAAATGAGCATTCCCTTCCCATGTGAGCCACAGCTTCTGAAAACCTGCTGGAGGGTCAGCCATGTCGGTTACAACTCAATGGCACGTAGAAATAATCTAGTGGCAGAACTGAGTAGAGATCAATGCTCTTGCCTTCATTAGCTTTTTTATGAGATCCTGGGCTGCCTGAGTAATTCAATCCAGCTTCTCTCTCCTGGACTTCAAGCTGAGAGACCCAGGTATGGCATTGGTCTATGCAGTGCACTTCAGAAAGTGATGCTACCAAGCCAAAGGTTGGTGATTTTAATCTGAGGCCCTCAGGCCTGTTTTAAATTGTTTTTTATCAAACATTCTTCTAAGTGGTATAGCGCCGATCTGTGCATTGCTGTACAGAGGTAACTCATGGTTGCTGTGATGCTAGACACTGTGATGCTCATGTGCCAAATGTGATAATGGCTACCCATGGTGGACAGTGTTTGGTGGAACTTCCCTATTAGAACAAGCTTGGAAGCAGGAGTGGCATCTACTTTTGAAATAGGTTGCCTCTGGAAACCCTATGAACCTGGAGAAATGATGAAAGTTATACAGGAGTTCAGGTCTTTTTGTTAATAAGGTCTCTATGAGGAATCTACAACTTGACGGCACTTAACAACAACAACAACAACAACAACAGGAAATTCACTCTGTCCCCATACAGAAGACTGGTGTGGTTCAGGTTACAATTAGCATAATCAGATCCACAGTCAACACTCATGGAAGCAGTAGTCACAAGTTAACTGACATATTTCTTGGGGCACATCTGCTGCAAAGTACCTCTTTAAACTATTAAAACACAAGGAAAGACTTTACATTGGGGACTATGGTGTGCCTGATCCAAGCTGTGGTTTAGTCAGTCACCTCGTAGACATGTCACTGGACAGTGTACAAGGAAGAGCAAAGATGAAGTGATGCCTTTGAATTATGGTGTTGGTGAAAAGCAGTGCACATACCATGAACTGCCAAGAGAACAAACAAATCCATCTTCAAAGAAGTGCCGGCAGGGTGATCCTTCATGATGAAGATGATGGCACTTGGTGTCACATACGTTGGACATGTTACCAGGAGAAATCAGTCCCTGGAAAAAGGGGATAATGTTTGGGAAAGTAGAGGGTCAGGGAAGAGGATGTCCCTCCAGGAGATAAACTGACACAGTGGCTGAAACACAGCAACTGTTGTGAGAACGGCACAGGATCAAGTGGTGTTTTACACAGAGATCCTTTGACTCAGCACCTGACAGCACAGCTTGCTTAAGGTAGAGGGTTTTGAAAACCGGAAACAGAACAAAATGGAACTTCCTATTCATGATTGCTGTGATGCTAAACACTGTGACACTGATGTGTCAAATGTGATAATGGTTACCCGTGGTGGACAGTATTTGGTGGAGCTCCCTGATTAAAACAAGCTTGGAAGCAGGAGTGGCATCCACTTCTGAAATAGCTTGCCTCCGGAAACCCTATGAACTTGGAGAAACTACGAAAGTTACACAAGTGTTCAGGTCTTTTGTTCACAGGATCGCTATGAGTCACCTACGACTCAACATCACCTAGTAACAACATAGGGTTTCTCAAGCTATAATTTTTACAGACGTGCACTCCCTTCTCTTTCTTCCTCAGAGTGGCTAGTGGGTTTTAACTGCTGACCTTTTCATTAACAACCTAGTGCTTAAACCCTATACCAACAGGACCTCTTGAAGGAGTTTGAAAACAATGCTGCATTGAAAGATGCTGGATTCACATTGACTTCTTAGCCTTTTTTATTTATTTAGGTAATATAAATTCCAGATTATGGTGGGGGGTGGTTATGAACAGGGAAGTGAGAATTGTCGTGACTATAGAGGCTGGTTGATCTATTGATGCTAATTTTGGCAATCTTGAAAGGCTCCTAGGGTCAAGTTTTCCTTTTAGACTGGACAACACAGAAAACTTATCTCATACAGTCTGTGTCATGAAAGGAATCAACTTCTCATTTTTAATTGCCAGCCTTCCTAAAAGGAGCTGGAGTCATGACTTTCCCAGGAATACAGCAATGGGAATGGACAGAATTATTTCTGGATTTGTCTAACTTTGACAGCCTGTGAATTTAACTCTCCTCGCGAAGAACCCTTGAGACTTTCTCTTAGCAACAGAACTTGGCAGCTCTGTCCAGCCAGGAGCCCAGAGGACGGCTCCACCTAGAACACATTCTGCTGGATTTCAGAGGAAGCGTTTTAAAGGTAGTGTTGTGACTTACTTATCTCCATATAAAGTACCCACCACTCATACTGGCACTTAGCATCTAACTGAATTTTAGGTTATTGTTGTGAGGTGCAGTTGAGTCTAGTACCGACCCTTAACAACAACAGCTCTGAACCCTGCCTTTTCCTATGCCAGCCTCATGCACTTCTTGACACACTCGAGCTCACTGCCGTAATTACTGTGTCAATCCATCTGGTGAAGGTCTTCCTCTCTTTCACCGACCCTTCACCTATCAAAGCACGATGTCCCCTTCCAAGGAATAGCTTCTCCTAGAAACATGGCATGTGGGAGAAAGTTTTATCATCTTTGCTTCCAAGGAGCACTCTGGCTGCACTTTCTTCAAGACATACTTGGTTATTCTTTCGACAGTCCATGAGATATTTAGCACTTTTCTCTAACACCACAGCTCAAAGGCATCAATTCTTCTTCTGTCACTCTTCCTTACTCATTATCTTCACATGCATAGCAAGTAATTCAAAAGACTATGCCCTGAATCAGGTGCATCTTAATCATCAAGATGACATCAATAATTTGGAGAGGTCACTGACTTCAGACTTTCTGAGTACAGTATGTTTCCTGATCTCACGACTGCTGTTACCAAGGGATTCAAGTAAGATGAAATTATTGGCAACTTCAGTCTTTTCTCTGTGTATCATGATGCTGCCTATTGGTCAGTGGTAATAATTTTTGGGTGTTTTTGTTTGTTTGTTTGTTTGTTTGTTTGTTTTTTGAGAACGTTTCAGATCTATGGAGCCAGGTGGGAGTGATCTGGAAGAAGAAAAGATGTAGGATAAATAATAATGGCAGATATCAGGGAGCATCACAGGAATATGGAACACCCACTGTGTGCAAAACCCTCATCTTCAGGCTGCTTTTGGTCAGTGTTGGTCCTGGGCGTGGGCCACTCTTATAGTAATGAAAGTTTTGAGAGACTGCCAGCAGTGTCCTGAGTTCTACCTGCAGGGTCTCCGTGAATGGTGAGCTTTATCTACAGGAGCTCCTGCATCCAGGTCTCCCCTGTAGGGAGGACCATGTCCATGAGGTAGAATCCGTACCCGCGAGATGGAAGGCCCCAGCTGATCGCCCTGATCCGTCCACTCTGCACGCTGTATCCTGACTTCACTTTATGCGTTAATGCCTGGGTCCTGGCTGCCTCAGCTCAGCCAGCTGTGGCTGCCAGCAGCCTGTATCCTGCAGACTGAGGCTCATCAATCTTGGCACTTTGGCAATTTGGAGTGGATGACTTTTGGTTGGAGTGAGGGTTGTCCCAGGCACATTGTGGGGTGCTTTAGCAGCCTCTTTGCCTGCTACTCACTAGATTTCTGTTGCAGCCTCTATTCCTCCCTACTACAAGTTTTGATAACCAAAAATGTCTACACACATTGCCACATGTCCCCCAATCACAGTGAGAACCACTGCAGTAAAGAGAGCCAGCTCTGCTTTTACCTACGTCCTCAAGAACGAAACCTACGCGCATGCAGAATGTACCCAACCCAGGAGTAGAGTGAGGCTAAATTTTCCACATAAAATAGACAGCTGGAAGGGGCAGCACGGGCAAGGGGTTAAGGACATAGGTCTGGGGTCGGATCGTCTGTCCTCTTTGCAGTCCTGGCTGTGTTGCTTACTGAACGGCCTTTGGCAAGTTGCCTAGTTTCTCTATAACTCCGTTACATCTTTTATAAATAGGGGTGATAGTAATAATAATGTCTACTTAATTAGATTTTTTGAGGCATTGAGTAAAATGTGTGCAAATTACTTAAACCAGATCTAGGTAAGGAATTGTGCAGCTAGCTAATGTGAA